CGCATCGCTACTAGGAGCATGGACGCTACTAGTGGCTCCTGGCCTTACTGCTAATAGCAAGAAGCTACTAGGAACAAGGTGCATCGCCACTAATAGCATGTTAGTAGTAGGACTCTTCTTACAAAGATATGAAGTCAAACCTACTAGCGATGGCCTCTAACCTACTCGGAGAACGAGTTTGCATCGGACATGCAACAATGATGTGCAACGATGTGTTTTACTGAACGAGATGCCCCTCGGATACGGGCTCACAAAAATAGACTCAAAAATTTGAAAATGTGAAGGAGTTGTTGTTTGAGCCGCTCATGCTTTATTGTCTTTGGGATCGTTAGTAGGTTGGAGGCCATTACTACTAGGAGCAAGGGCGCTACTAGGTACAGGATTGGAGCGTTTCAAAAAGCCCTCCGCGCTGACAAAGCCCAAAGCGCGTGGAAATGGATGCCACTACGGATTCACAGTAACAAGAGCACGTCTAATGGACAAAAGGAAGACCTCAAAAGTCCTTCTCCTTCCTTCCCCTCCTGTTACTAGTAGTAATGCACTTGTTCCCCTCGGAGTGGGTTATGCTTTTGGAGCGCCGTTTGCGATTTCGGGCTTCGCTTTGTGCTCAGGGGCATCGATGCACTTTGTGCCGCCTTGCGGGAAGGTCACGAGGCGAGGACGTGCGATGTGCTCCAAGGTTTTTCTTTTAGCCCGCTCCCCCCTCCCTACTTAATTGAGTAGGCGCCTACTTAATTAAGAAAGGGAGGTAGCTGGTACCTTACTTAAGCTACTAGTATGGACGCAGGATATCTCACGCTTCTTCACATCCAGCCTAATAGTAATGGCCTCCACTAGCGATGGCCTTCAACCTATGTGGTTGAAGACTTCTTTGGACTTTGAGACGATTGCTGTGTTCCTTCTTTTCTTCTTCCTTTCTTCCTTTGAACATTTGTTGAAGGTTGGCAAATCTTCAAGGGAAAAACTGCAGCTGTTAAAGGGCAAGGAAGATTTCGGACACGAGAACCAAACACGAAGTCACAAGTTTGACTTTCAGGTGCATGGATTAGTCTTGCTACCCCGAGCTGGGTCTTTGGAGTTCTTTATTGAAGGAAGGACCTCTTTGGAAGAAAAGTGCATGGAAAACAGCTTTCAAATGTGCAAATATTTTCAGTTTCGCAAATAGAAGGAAGCCGTCTTTGGAACAAAAGTGCATTTTAAAAAACATGTTCTTCAAATGTTCTTCAAATTCTATCTTCTTTGTTTATGTGGTGTTCAAGGCCCGGCTGCCAGCCAATTTGCTGCAGCGTGCAGTGCAGCGTCTGGGCACTCGCGAGGCAGACGAGACGTGCCACACGAGAACGAAGCTGTTCAAAGAACGGGTTTTGCAAAACGCAAAATCAAGTCGATGTGGTCCATGTCTTTGCTTCCGTTTCTTAGAAAAAGCGCTTTCCTTTGGTTCGAAAATAAGAAGGTGTTGGCCTCCAACCTAAGAAGGTGAGAAAGTGTTTGTGTTTGTTGTGATTTCGGATTTGGAATTGCCAGGCTGCGCAGCAGGGGCTTGAAAGGGCCATTGAGGCCGACTGAACTGAAGAAAAGAGAAACAAAAAGGAAGACATGAAAAGGCCTTCCAGGCCCTAATAGCGATGGCCTCCAACCTACTAGTGATGGCCTCGAACCTGCTAGAAAGAAATGAAATCCATTAGATTCTAATGAACTAAATTAATCATGTGTTTTTTGCTATTTTTTAGTATCTACTTATTATTTGTTTTTGTTTTGATCGTTTCATCACACCTTCTCACACCCAAAGTGGGCTTTCAGCCTTACTCGTGCCTTACCCCAGCGCATTCAGGCAGCGCGGGTGCCAGCATTGACGGCTGCCCTGGAAACAGCAGCGGAGATGTACCTACCTTCGGAAGAGCCTGCCAGGTGTGACCAAGCGAATTTGCATCCCCTTCTCACATTATTTGAAGACAGCAAAATTGATGTCTTTCGAGCCTTTTGGGTCATGTGAGTACCTGAAACCCCATCGGTCACCGCATTCGATAGGACTTTGTTGACGGCCATCAGCCACTCAGAGAAGCTCTTGCAGGTGACAGGGTTAGACTTCGTTTTGCGCACGCAAATGAGCCCTGACGACATGCCCGTTTGCTACTAGGGGCTCCTGGCCTTACTACTAGGAGCAAGGATGCTACTAGGGGGAACGGATGGAAGCCGTAGTTGGGATTGATATGAATTTCTTTGCAGATCCGTGTGTATGGTAACGTCTCCTTTTATGGGAGGCGATCGCTATTTGGTGTTCTCTTTGGTATCTCTTTTTCTGTCCGTTTCTCTTTGGGTCTTCTTGAGGCGGCTCTGTTGTCCGAAAGCATCGACGATTTGCAGCAAGCCCTGGACTCCGCAGCACAGCCCCCCAGAGCATTGCCGGTGTTTCTTTTGCCCGCTGCTTAAGCAGAGACTACCTGAATTAAAAGACTGAGCTCCTAGCTACTTAAGATTCTAGGAACTGGTCGCATGATATCTAATAGCTCATGCTTCTTTCTTTGGTTCAGGAAAACAAGTCTTGAATACGTTTTGCATCAACACTCCGGCGGCAGGCCAGCAGCGGTCTTCGCGAGGATGAGTTGATTCTTAGAGTTCGGCCCGAAGAGTGCAAACTGTCTAGTAGCAAGGACGCTCTACTAGGGTGGAGGCCATGTAACAAGAAGCTACTAGTAGCTTCTTGTTCCTAGTAGCAATGGGCTCCAACCTACTTGCGATGGCCTCCACCTAATAGCGTCCTTGCTCCTTGTACGTTTCGCATTCAGTCTGACCAATCCAAACCCCACGCCAGTTGTGTATGTTGATCTTGCGTCAGCTTTCTGAGTCCCATCGACAGTTAAGGCGCAGAAGCTCTTGACACGACAGCGGGAGATCCGCGATGATGCCCAGAAGCAATTGAAGGAGGCTATTGAGGCGTGTTCTAAACATCGTGAGCACGAACGCGTTCAACAGCACTTTAAATTTGTAGGTTGGAGGCCATTGCTATTGCGATGTTGGAAACAAATTGACGAGACATCGGCTTTGCAGTTCAATTTCCAGCAGCGCTGCTAGCTACCATTTGCCTCTTCCTACTTCTTTGTGGCTTCCTCCTGGCTTAAGGGAAAATGCAAGTTCAGTGTCACCTCAGTTTTGAGGCACGCCTGCCTTCCTTGTTAGAGGAGGCCTTGGAAGTTTCTGCCAGGCCTCCGTAAGACGAGAGAAACGAGCCAATTTCAGCGTTCTTTAAGCGTTCTTTTCTTTCCAAAATCAATTGTCTCTTTTTAGATGAAGAAACGCGTTTCTTTCAGCTACGGTCTCTTCTGCCTCTCTTATGCAAAAGCGCGTGACATTTTGGATATGCTTCCAGGTCGCAAGTGGATGAAGCCAACATCCAAGAGGCGGTCGCAGACAGCTTGCAACATCTCGTGTACAGAGAGAAAGCTCGTTCTAAACAGTTGTCAGAAAGTCACTTGCCGGTAGGGTTGATAGGCAGCCCATTGACATAAAGTGCTTTTCTTTAGACTCTAGACCTTCAAACCTTTTCTTTCTTCTCTTTTCCCCAAACAGTGTGGTCACACTAGGGGTTCTTACGGCAAGGGTTAAGGGCCGGTGTCTAATCGAGGTGTCGTGCATTCGTGTGCGGCTAGTTTGTTGCTATTTACAGTACATGCATGCCTCTCGAATCTTCGAAGTGCATTTCGACTGCGCAGGCTCGCAAAATCTGGGTGGCGGCGGGTGCTTGCCGCGACAGTGGTGCCGGACATGGTGGTCACTTCGTGGCAGGAGCAAGGGAAACCTCGTGCTTGGGTGGTCCAGAGTGGACTTTTCGTGACAGGCGCAAGGGATCGGAGCGGCTTTACTTAGAAGTGCAGAGTTCGTGGCAGGCGCAGCTCTTTGGACATAATGGTGTTCTTCGACGTGCTTCTGATTCCGTGACAGGTGCGGTGAATCGTGACTTTTCTACATGTGGTCCGTTTTCAGAAGTCGGGGGAAGCCTTGCGCGAAAGCTGCGATTTGGCATCTTGATGTTGTCTTTGGAAGCTCTTGCGGTGAAACGCCTTGGCAGGGCTGCGGCACGTGAGTCTTGAAGTGCAGATTTGCTGGCAGCCACGGCGCTCTCAACATGCAGATTTCGTGGCAGGCGCAGTACTTCGTGGACCTTTCCCAGCTTGAGCCCCCTCACCACCATCACCACCACCCAGATCTCTAGGTTTTCAGCTGCTACACCTCCAGACCTTACACTAACTGTTGGGGCCTCCTGCCGGCTAATGTATATTCTTGCATTTGGGGGACAGAAAAGCAGCTTTCAAGGCGCAAGTGCGCGATAGCGCTGATTCGCACAAGAAGATGTAGAGGCTTCACATGAGGTACAGAAAGACGAGGTCTTTACAGAGGGGAGTGCCTAAAGTTTGAGTTTCTAAAGGAAGGGCGCAAAAACGTAAAGATTTCTCAAAAGTAGAGTTTGCCGAAAAAGGTGGACTTGTTTTCAAGAAAAGAACAGTAAAGCGACGAGAGTAGAGATGTCCTAGCTGAGTAAAAAGAAACATGCAGATGACCGAAGAGCGCCCGAGGCATGAGGGAGCGGCAAAATTTACACCAGCATCGACCCTAAAAAACATGTGTTCAACAAGCATGGCGAGCACCAAAAGAACACTCTACCAAAGCAAAAAGCAAACTATGATTACGTGCGCTTTGGCAAACTTCACAGACCAAATGGTCAAACTGTTTATGTGTTTTTCCCGAAAGCATTGCGAAGGGTTCTTCCGGAAAATACCTTGAACACTGACACTTCGACACTTACGCTTACACACTGACACTTGGACACATACACGTCTATACGTATCCCAGTGTAAGGGTAAAAAGCATCCAAGGGTAAGTATGCAAGTGTAAAAGTATGCAAAAGTGCAAAAGTATGCAAGTCTCCCAGTGCAATCCCAGTGCAAGTATGCAAGTATGAGTATGGAAAACTTGCACGGGAGATGTCCTAATGAAAAACATTTCCCCACTTTATAAATTCCCTCTTAAAGGCGGCGGGTGGGGCGAACAGCGTCAACCGAAAAGGCAACCCTCTGCGGAGATCGTGCGTGTCAAGTGCGCGAAATGCAGGCGAGAGTGCGATTGGCGCGGTCCGCGCGCAACCCTCTGCGGAGATCGCGCGCGTCGAGTGCGCGAAATGCAGGCGAGAGTGCGATTGGTACGGTCCGCGCGCAACCCTCTGCGGAGATCGTGCCTGTCGAGCGCGCGAAATGTAGGCGAGAGCGCGATGCACCCTGGACGCGGGGAACCCTCTGCGGAGATCGCGCCTTTGTAGTACAACTTTAGTGCGCGGAGTATCTGGCGAGCTGGAAGATGAGAACTGGCGACTTTGTAGTACAACTTTAGTGCGTGGAGTATCTGGGGAGCTGGAAGATGAGAACTGGCGACTTTGTAGTACGACTTCAGTACGCGGAGTAGGTGGGGAGCTGGAAGATGAGAACTGGTGACTTGGTAGTACAACTTTAGTACACTTCTATTTTCGCTTTTCATTCAGCTCACTTTTTTCACTGAGATTTCCTGCAGCCGTGCACGCTGCTTCCCCCCTTACCAGCAGCTCAAATGCTCACGACCATGAGCTGGGCTGTCACCGCTTGGCCGCCGGCGGGGGGTTTGGGAGGCCTGCGCACCACTTCGTTCACCATAATACTGGTCGCGAGCCGAACAGCGAGACTACGCTAAACATCTGCAGTGCCTGCTGTGTGTCACCTCATGCTACTTTGTCACGTTTTCTTTGAGACAGTCATTTAGTCAATGACAAGCATAGTGGTTGGTTAACTACATCCTAGAAAGGCTGTGTCCTGGAGTGAAGGAAACGTTACCTCTGATCGTATATCGATACGCATCTCCTCTGACAGGTCACTGCTTTGACACACTTGTTGCGTACCTGCCTCGGCACTTTTCTGTCTTCACTCCAGCTCGCTTTTTTCAGTGAGATTTCCTGGAGGCGTGCACGCTGCTTCTCCCCTTACCAGCAGCTCAAATGCTCACGGCGATGAGCTGGGCTGTCACCGCTTGGCCGCCGATGGGGGGCTTAGGAGGCCAGATCACACACAGAGACCCACGCACTGCCTCAACTTACTCGAACACACACACACAAAGAGAGACTCATATACACACGGACATAGATACACACACAGAGACCCACACACTACCTCAACTCACTCGACTTAAGCACTTCACACTGAACACTTAACAGATAACTCACACTCTGACTTCCTACGTGATGAAAAATGTTTTCGGGCCACCCGTCGTCTAGTTGTTTTTGTTTTAGCCCGCCCTTAATTAAGTATGGCTAGTAGCCATTAGGTACTAGTAACAGGACGCAGGACAGCTCACGTTTCCTCGAAAAAGCGCTCGCACTATTCATTTGGCGCCTGAATTGTTAAGGAAACTTAATCCCTGAAGAATAAAACATTGAACCGGAAAGTAGAACAAATTACAGTTTTCAAGAAACTGAGTGCAAAGGACGAAAGGAAGAAAGGAAGGTCTAAAGGGTAGAGGAAATAACAAAAAAAACTTGGTTTTTCGTTGGTGGCATAGAGGACTCGTTCAAACGGTTGAAAGAAGCTGGAACGATTGCCCCTTCGTGATCTTGATGCCAGGGTGCAGATTTGCTGGCTCAGATCGAGTTCCTGTTGTCCAGGGTCGAGGCCTGTGTTGTATTTTGCAGATCTCATCACTATTAGGTTGGAGGCCATCGCTAGTAGTAACAAGGGCAATACTGTAGCTAGAAGCTACTAGGAACAAGTGCATCGCTTCTAGTAACAAGTGCCTTACTAGTAGTAACAAGAAGCTACTAGGAGCAAGGGTAGGAGCAATGGCATCGCTCGTAGGCTTGTTTGCCTCTAGCTACTACCTACTTCCTCCCGACCGCACCGACCGGGGTCGCGTGCTGGCCCAGGTCCACTAGCGGCCTACTCTCCCTTAAAAAGAACTTGCTACCAGTAGCGATGCGCTTATTCCTAGTAGCTTCTTGTTCCTAGTAGTAAGGCCAGGGGCCCCTAGTAGCGTCCTGCCTCCTAGTAGCGATGCCAGGAGCCCCTGGTAGCTTCTTGTTACTAGTAGCGATGCACTCGTTACCCGGTTCCATTCCTTGGAGACCATTCTTCGTTTCTTCCTTCGTGCCAAAAAAACGAACACCAATAAAACCGTGGGAAGATTGACTCGGTAGATTCCCAACGATAGGAAAGCCAAGATCACATGATTGACGCTTGAGCGTGATTGGCGGTTCTTGCCCAACTGCGTATCGTCTCGTGAGCCTCGTCGTCAAAAACACACGGGTTTCGACTACCGGAGGTAGCAGTGGGCTCTGAAGAACGGGCCGCCACGTTGCATGCAGCGCAGGTGAAGGCCCCCTCCGACGTCTTTGAGATGGTCTTGTTTACTTTTCTTCAAAACCGTTAATTCTGTAGTCCTTTCTTCCTTTTTATTGCTTTTGCTTTCTTGATCTTCATTCTTTCCTTTCTTTGCGTCAATTGTTTTGCCTTCTAGACCTCAGTAGACCTCTAGACTCTAGACCTTTCTCTTCGGTCCGTTCTTCTTTTCTTAGGGGATGTAAAACATTGCGTTGCTTGGTGTTTTGTTTCCAAAAACCTGAGTTTGCACTCAGGTACCAAAGGAACTCCTGAGTGTGGCAGAGACGCAGCTCAATTGCCTGAATCATTTGCACTCGGTCCGGACTTCCAGATTATCGCAAGAATGCTGCAAGAGTATGAACTTGACATGTTCTCGTTCAAGCAAGATCAAGCAAGGAGCTTTTGCTCCTTCATGTTGTTTAAAATGTGTTTCATTTGTTTAAAGCAAGTGTTACATTTAAGTGATGTGTCTTTAAAAAAATAAAGATAACATATTTGCTAACTTGTCACATGAATGCGTCCCTAAATAGTGCGAGCGTGAGCTATCTTGTAGGTACTAGCTACCGTTTACTACTAGCTACCTCGGCCTACCTTCAAAAAACCATTCCGCTCTCAGGTGCTTCGCGCCGGGGACGTCCCCGCAACGAGACGCGCCTTGAAGTTGGCCGAGGCGGAGCGGAGATGTGACTCGTACCGCCTCCGATGCCTTGAGCTGTTTGCGCCTTGTTCGCTACTAGGACAAGTGCATCGCTACTAGTAACAAGTGCCTTACTAGTAGTAACAAGGACGCTAGTAGAAACAATAATTAGAATTTAGTAATATCTTCTTGTTACTACTAGTAAGGCCCTTGCTCCTAGTAGCGATGCACTTGGCTCCTAGCAGCTTATTGTTTCTATTTACATATTGTTCCCCACATTGACGTGTGGGTTTTTTGTTTTTAGTGTTGTATCCCGCCCTCCTCCTCCTCCTCCCGCCCTCCACTTGCCACCAAGCAATTGCCACCAACAACTGCCACCCACAATTGTCGTGAACCAATTTTCAACAACCAATTGTCACCAACCAATTGTCGTCGACAAATTGTCACCCACCAATTGCCACCAACCAATTGTCCACCAGCTAATTGTCTTCTCCAGGGGGGTCGGATGTACGCCCTGGTGCTGGCCGGTGCTGGTGGGTCTCCGCCGCTGTGCCGCTGTGATTTGCGTGCTGCGACTGATCTGCGCGAGGTTCCATACAAACTTCGGGCGCGTGCTGGGATCGAGTTCTCCCGAATAGAGACACACGCGTCATCAAGACTGGATCCACCTATTTACACACGCACCCGGACACCCGACAACCTGTAAGACAACCACCAAACGACAATCGCCATCCCCATCCACTTCCAAACGACAACCACCAAGCAACCACCACTCCCCCCCTCTCCCTCCTCCCGACCACTTCTCCTGCGCGAAGTTGTTAACATGTGGGGGTCATCCGGTCCTATAATTTGTGTTTTTGTCTTGTGGCTCTTTTTGTTGCAATGCCTTAGTGGTTCGGAGAAAAGCAAGGAAGTTTGGAAGGTTGAGAAGCGCTCTCATGTTCGATTTTGGGAGAAACTTCAACTTTCCACGACTGCTCTTTGTTCCATTCTTTCGACAGATTTTAAGCATCGAAGAAGGCCCTTACGACGCGCCCCTAAAGTCGGCACCGTCGCGAAAGAAATCGAAGCATTTCCTGTTTTTTTTCGCCCTCCAACCACGAAAATGCCAGGTTGCTGGCATCAAACCCGAGGAGATCGTGGGAGCCCCAAGACATCCAATTCACTGTTTCAAGAAAGGAAGACAAAAGAGTTTTCGACTGAAAAACACAGTGAAGCTTCACGCTACCGAAAGAAACACGCTACCGAGTAGCTGAGTAGCTACTCCTAGATTCTTTCACCGAGGTGGAAGCTCGTGCCGTTGAACGGCGCTGGGGCCAGCTGACCCGGGAGCTGGAGATTGCGGTCGAAGCCTAAGCAGCGGCGTTTTTCCGCCAGGAAACGGTCGACCTTTTTTGCACCTTCACAGCAACCCGGTTTGTGTATTTAATTTGCACTTGGCAGCGCCAAAACCAGGTTTCGATGGGCAACACTCAACGGTTGCGGAAAGCTTTGGAAAACACCGAGAACAGTGGAATCTCGCAGGAGTCGAAAGCGGCAACATGGTTATGCTCGCTCCGAAACCACCCTAAGAATATATGCTTTTCTTTAAAGCCCGCTCCCCCCGCTACAGGTACTGGTAGCCAGTACCTTACTTAAGCTACTGATATGGACGCAGGATAGCTCACGCTTCTTCAAGGAAGCTCCCCCCGCCGCCCTAAAGGCGGCGGGGGAAGCTTCCTTGAAAATGCGGTCGCGCTAATCATTTGGTTCCTAATAGCTTGTAAGGCCAGGAGCCCCCAGTAGCGTCCTGGCTCCTAGTAGCGATGCCAGGAGCCCCTAGTAGCTTCTTGTTCCTAGATGTTTCGGGAAATTTACTTGCTGATTGAAGGGTTTTGTCCAAAGACCTTTAAGACCACAAGTGTTCTCTTCCAGGTTGCAACTTTACAGAGGAGCAAGGACGCTACTAGGGGCTCCTGGCTTTACTACTAGGAACAAGAAGCTACTAGGAGCAAAGGGCATCGCTCTAGGAGCAAAAGGATTCTACTAGGGCGCAAATAACTAAAACAGAAAACAATAAGCAGTTGACATTTGAGAGATGCAGCTATTCAGTCCGGTACCAGGGTAATCTGGCATGCAACTCATACCTCTTGGAATCTAATTATTTGTTTCTTTGCGTTGTTGTTCTGTAGCTTTCTCTTTTTCCCTTCCTTTCAATGAAGATTTGAGCGCTCACCACATGTACAGATTTGAGCTTGACCGCAGGTGCACCTTTTCGCAATTCAAAAGTATCGCTACCAAGTTTGGTAGCGGAGCTTCGTGCTCCAGGGACCCCACCCGGTTTGAATAGGCCCGTCCGGTTAACTGATATCCTCGGTTTTCCCTGCCATTGTGCTGCTGTGGCTTTGGCTTTCACCTGCACGCCTTTCGCTGTTTTTCGGCACCTGCACTCCGATCGATCCAAGGCATCCTCGAGCTCTATACTGGTGGTCTTTGGCTGCTGGCTAGCGCTCCTGGCTGCTTGGGAGATCGAGCTCATGGACCCTTCATCCCTGCCGGCTTTGAGGCCACGATTCCGGACAGGGAGAATAAGCCTGAGAAGGCCTTGAGTTGAAGGCCATGGACGGATCTGCCCCGTCCACGGTGTCGGGACTTCCCCTCCAAGAGTATAGAAAGGATGTTCCTCCTGGTTGGGCTCCCAACATCCCGGACTATCCCCTGAAGCTGTACTTCGAGCGTCTTCGAGTTTGGTACAGGCTGTTCGAAGGTCCTGATGAAACTGTTGGTCCTCTGATGGCAGGACGACTTCAAGGAAGAGCCCAACAGATAGCACTCCAGCTTCGACTACCTGACCCTCTCGGCAACGTGGATGTTGGTGACAGTGCATTGGTGAGATTGGCAGTGGATGAAGTGAGAGATCCTGCTCAACCTCACATCATCCTCCAACATGCCATACCCTCAGGGGTTCAAGCGCTCACCAACGCACTTCGTGAAGCTTTTGGAGACTCAGCTCAACTCCAATCCACCAAAGCTCTTGAGGCCTTCTTCGACTTCAGGAAGCAGAAACCCTGCAGGAGTTCAGCGTTGAATGGATTCTGAGGCTTGAAGAAGCCATGAAGCACGCTGGACTAGAACTCAACAACGTCGCCAAGACCTTCCTGTTCTTCAGAGCGTCTCAACTCCCTCAACGACATGTTGACAATGTGTTGATGCAGCTTCAAGGTGATATGTCAAGATTCACCGAAGCCAAGACCCTGGTTCTGAGAATGGCACATCGCCAGAGCACGAGAACATTCCAGAGCGACGTGACTATGCCTCAACCTCTGGTGGAAATTGGCCTGAGCCTGACACTTCATGGGACTACTACGACTCCTATGACACCGGCCTCAACTACCACACGCAATACTACCAGATGGAAGACAGCTGGACTGATGACACATGGGACAGCCCAGATGCCTGGCAGATCTGGTTCGATGATGACAATGGAGAATGTGTATGGCCTGACTATGCAGAATGGCCTGAAGGAGAAGAACACTATGATGATTGGTATCAACAACCTGATGAACCACAAGAAGCTCCCGAAGAGACCAACGACTACTACAAAGGAAAAGGAAAAGGCCAAGGATATCGAACATCGGGATCCTTTGGCAACATTGGCCGCACAATTTGTGGCAGCAAGTGCCATTCGTCCTCATCCTGCCCAATGAGCAAAGGTTCCTCCAAAGGAGGCAAAGGCCCTGGAAAGTCATGGCCTAAGGGCAAAGGAAAAGGCAAGGGCGGCTTTCGTCGTTGGAAAGGAAAAGGAAAAGGCTTCAGACCTTTCTCCAAAGGCTATGGCAAGTTTGGCCAATACGGCAAAGGAAAGAACAAAGGCAAAAGCTACTACGACTACACCTTTGCCACCAAGAAAGAAAACGATCTCTATGGATCTCCATTACGACAACATCGACTACTTCGACATGCTCGAGAAGGCATTGCCCTGACACCTGAACGACCTACAACCTCTGAGCGACAGGAAGCTGTGCCTCCGCTTCCCAAGAAGAAAGTTGAGCCATCCTCTGAATCGCCCTTCAAGGTCTTCGGCAATGTCAAGAAGGACTACCTCCACAAGCATGATACAAAAGAAAAGGAAGACAAGAGTGAGTGAAGAAGTGCAAACAGCCTCTGCATCTACTCCCAAAGAGAAGGTCCTCAACTTTCCCGTCGCGCAGCACTTTGGCGACAACAACGAGATTGTCGAGACCTTCCACATGATCCAAGGAGTCAAGCGCAGAGGCCTCTTAGTTGATCCTGGCGCAGCGGCTGGCCTGATTGGAAGTGAAACACTTCGAGACATCATGGAGAACTGCATCAAGCCACAAGGTCTTGAAACTGGAGTTGAACGGCGAGAGAAGCAGACATCGGTCACAGGCATCTCTGGCAAAGGTGATCAGACCATGGCGGAGATCTCCTTTCCCTTCAAGCTGGATTCAAAGCAGCAAGCTCGATACTCTGCCGACGTTCTCGGAGGAGAAGGAAGCTTGTGTCCGGCTCTCGTCTCAAGTCCCAGCTTGCTGTGAACTTCATGAGAACAGTGATGCACATCTCCAATTCTCGCTGGCAAGATGTGAATGTCTCAGGAGCCTACTGCTTTCTGAACACCACTCAGGCGGCGCACGGGCTTGAGCGGAATGAACACGATGAACAACAAGAACAACAAGATGATGAAGCGCGACATGAAACCTATCGGACCACAAGCGAGGAGGTTCCAGAACCACAACATGATAAACCTCATGATCCACAACCAAGGATTCAGGATAAGGAGAAGGAGAAGGACCAGCGCCACCGTGATTTCTGGAAGCAAACATCCACTGGCTGGATTCGACATCATGTCCGGCCGAGAACCAATATGTTCTCTCCCTTCGCAGGCAAGTTCCCGGCAGACCTGCGAACCCTGTCACTGAGAAGAAAGACAACTGCTCACTACCTCGATGACACTAGTGAGATTGTCAACGACAAGTGGAACAATGATGTTTCCTTACAAGCGCCTCTCAGCAAGAAGTGGACTGGCTTCACCGAGTTCTTTTACAAGACAGATGATGACCAAGACTCCCCGCCTGCCACTGACATGAGAGAGAACAAGAACTATCACACTGAATACTTTGACCTCATGGACCACAACGATCACTGGTTCACAGAAGAAGAAGTCCAAGAATATGAAGGTGACCATTTTCCCAGTCACATCTCCGAAGAGAAGCGCACATACCTCAAGAAGATGTATCGAGCCATTCCAGAGGAGTTCTACACGCATCTCAAGGTCTCTCCTGTCACTCCTGACAACGTCAAGCAATGGATGGACCGAGTCTCCAACAAAAACCGACAGAAGAAGAAATGGTGCAGTGGCAGTGCAAGACTGACACTACTAGCCTTCCTCTCCGGCATGTGCGTTCTCTTTCCTGTGGACATGCGCTACGGCTGGGACATCGGCCATCCTCCACATCAGAAGCTGCTACGAGAAGTACAAGAGCAGTTTGCACCCGACACGCTGATGATGTCGCCTAACTGTAGGCCCTGGTCAGTGTCCTCAAACAAGAGAGAACCTGAAGTGATCCAACGTGAACGACAAGCAGAAATGCCATGTGTGAAGTTCTGCAAAGAAAGTGCTGTGAAACAATGTCAACAGAAGAAACACTACGTCCTAGAACAGCCTTGGTCCTCAGCTCTTTGGCATGAACTCCATGATATGCCTGGACATCCTCAACGAACAGACCAATGCCAATTTGGAGCTGAAGATGAAGAGCATCGTCCCATCTTGAAACCAACAGGACTGCTCAGCGATGCGCCACTACATCATGTACTACGACGATGTGGCGGACATGCTGGACCACATGGCTGGCTACAAGGACAAGTACAAGGAAAGAACAGAACCACGCTGGCAGCTGTGTATCCGAAGAAATTCTGCAATGCTCTCCTGAAGGACATCAGGAAATGGTCGACGACAATGACACAGACCTACTATGAATGTCCCAAGTGCAAAGAAGGCAGATGGTCCATCGAAGAACACACCCTGATTCCAGGACAATGTCGACATGGCAAATGGCCCGAAGGCTTTGGACCAAAAGGCAAGATCCCTGTTCCTGATCCGGTGGCAGACTTCAAGCAAGAAGCCCTGAACAACAAGAAGGTACAGAAAGCACCCTTGGGCACACTGCCGAACTTTGACATGGATCAAGAACAAGTCGCTCTTTTCAAATACTGCATGATCACCATCCTCAAGGACAGCGCCGACGACTTTGAGAGTCAGGAGAAGAGTGGCAAGAAAGAAGTTGACTACGTGCGCTGGAGCACTAACCCAGTGATCCTTTCCTGGCTAAGAAAAGTCCTCGAAGACAAAATGACAGTCTGAGTCGAGCCACTCTCAACGTCTTGAGCCTGTCGACTTTGATGATGATTGGATGGTGTGTATCTTTGGGACCTATCCTCCTTCATCGTCCTCATCGCCGCCTAAGAAAGCATCAGCATCTACTGCACCTGAAACCTCATCTTCCACAACACCTAAGGCAAAA